TTGACTACTCCACATTCAAAGCATCTTTCTAGGGTCACTTTGATCAATAGTGACCTGCGAATCACTTACTCATGGATTTGTTCACTTTTTGGCAAGGAGCATGCGAATCTGTGCTGGAATATATGATGCAGTTCAAGTTATACTGGAAGGGGTGTGTCCAGCACAAGGTCATCACAAATGAACCTCATAACATCACCACATTCATCTTTGGCCTCAAGGGAAATCTCCAATGCATGATGCTCAAGCAACTTTTAGATGTGTTGTGAGGCATTTGTTGTAGTAGAGATTTTGGAGTGGGATCTTCTCCAAGAGCTTAGGATTTCCAGGGTAGAGGAGGCTTTCCTCCGCCTTTCAGATGAGAGCTCATGTGTTGCTGTTGTCCATTCTTCTCCAACCCTGCACAACGATGATAGAGTTCCCCCAGTGATCAAGAAGGCATTGTTGGAGCTTGCAAGATACAAGGAGATCATCTAGTAGCAATGACAAATGCAAGAGAAGCTACTTGAGGAGTTTAGAGCATGCCCTTTACAGTAGGTAGAGAGACCGAGATGCCCTCCTTGTTCTTGGTACTACTCGCATTGCAATGTTACAACGCATAGTACAGAGAGATGTTGGAAACTTCACCCAGAACTTCGACCACCTTCTGTCCAACATGTTTAGTAGCAACCTCTACCAGACAACAGATTTCTTCCATGGCTAGAGATAGATACTAGCAACAACTGGAGTAGAAAGTGATCAAAGACACTATTTCATTGAGCTGTGGAAAGATATTGATGTACGCCAATACAATTTATGTTGCAGAGGATGGTTATAAGATGGTTGTTATGACTCGAGGGTGCAAGAAGGTTTCTCCTCTAGCCCCAGATAGTGATGGTGAGCAGGATCCAGGTCCAGTTTCCAGAACTTCCCCATCTCTCATGGCGTACAAGTTACCCCATGCTTCGGTATTTACATTGCCACCCACATCCTTGGCCACAATTTCGAATCCAACAACCAGATATTCGTCCAACTTTCAGTCTGGGGTCTCCCAGCTACCCTCCACTCTTTCTCAGGTCCCACAAGAGGTTCTTGCTCAGATTGCTAACACTCTAATCTATATCACACTTGGTGAGCTTTTGCAATGTGTACCCAGTTTTACTCCTTAGCTGGAGGCTTTTGCCAAGTCCACGGGCATCCCCGTGGAACTTAAGCATGACATGCACATCATCAACACTCAAACCACTCATGATCCCAGAGCATTTTTTATGGAGGTCCACATTGGCGATAAATCTTTGACAACACAAGCATTACTTGATTCTGGATCCCAAAGTAACATCATCTCCCTCGACTTGGCACTTTCCAGTGGCTTGGAGGTGGTGAGAAACACAACTATCATCCTCAAAATGTTTGCCAATCACTCAGTGGTCTCTACAGGCATTTGTCAGAATGTCAAGATCTTGGTGCAAGGAGTGGTTTCCATGCTAGATTTCTTTGTTATGGACTTCCAATAGCTAGGATCTGGGAAGTTGAAGGACTCCATCATCTTAGGACAGCCATGGCACCTTGTAGCCACTTGCATGACAACTTGGGCCAAGGGAGAATTAACAATTACTAACGGCATCCATGCAACAAATCTTCTCAACACTTATGGTTATTCTTTACTTCTATCTAGCTTGTCTCAAGTGGATGCTTCTTCCATCACTAAAGTTGATTAGGCTTTCAATATTCTTTTCCTAAAACTTATCGAGGATGACATACTGCTAGAGATCCAAGTTATTGACTGCAATATGATTGACTTCTTCAACACGGACTAGACTACATCAACACTCGACACTACAAAAGTCCAGAAATCCCTTGGCTTCAACAAATCTAGGGATTTCACATCGATTCCTTTGCTGTAGCATAGTGAAGAATCTATCCAAGTGGTGAATTTTCCAAGCACTTTTCCAACTCTAGCACCACTTGAGGAGTCACTAGGGACCCCTACTGAGGATCTATTGACCACTTTCTTCTAGACAAATAGCCATCTCTAGTTGCCTCCAACAAATGCTTTGGAGTGGTATCTGCTGCAGCTATGGATTTTTTGATTTGCTTCCATAGTGTGGAGCTTACTTATGTCCACCCCTAAGTTGTACTAACTCTACCTTTATAGAAAATTCCCCAAGATGCATATACTTTACCATACAATCTTGGAAGCTTGCCCGCTAACATGCTCACACCTTCTCAAAATGCAACTTTTGATCCTGGACTTCTTCACTACCTTCCTCAAAGTCTTTTACATGATTTTGGCATTGAGACAAAGCCTTTTCAAGTGGTATATAATAGTTTTGGAGCTATCAACGAAACATGGTCACAAAGCATCAACAACACTTTGGAGAGCACAACTTCTTCACTTTCTTTGAGTACACTTTTGACTTTCCAACTTAGTGACTACACTCTTGGTGGCATGAAGGGAGAGAAACTTGGACCACTAGAGCTTGTATCAGCGAGTCCAAAAAGATTTGCAATGGGCCAAGTGTGTTCTTGGCCAGCACAAGAGCCTTGAGGAGTAGAACCTCCATTGGTTGGTAGTGATCTCAAGATGGACCATTCAAGTTTCCACAGCAGAACTTGATGTTGTAATCTTCGAAAAAAGAAAAATCTTACAAACTTCAAGTTTAGATCAAGGAGTTACTGAAAGGTCAACTTTATTCCACTCGTCCTTGTGTCTAAACTTTGTACCGGTGGATCCACTGTTGGTATTTGTGATTATCCTGGTGAGCATCATGGATCTGTTGCTGACAGCATTGTCGAACCACCATACAAAAAAGAAATAAAAGCATTTGACATTAGATTAAATAAAAATTACAAAAAAAGGCAAATATTAGTTACTTAAAACAGTGTTTTTGAATTATAATATATTTAACATCAGAAAATGATATCATGCAACACATTTTAAAAAATAAATGAATAAATAAGCTTTAAAAACATTTAAATTTGATTATTGTTGAATACTTAACGGTATACACAAATTTCATTGCTCCTACTTACTTGAAGATGTATACAATGTGAGGGACAGCCCATCCAGGTTTTCAGCATTACTGGATGAGCTTGGCGTGGAAATACTCTCTGTGTTATAATTTGCAGCAGCAGCCGGACTACTGCCAATCCCCTTGCTCTCTTCCAGCAGCTGGTGATTTGCTACGACAAATCTCCTCGAGGGATAGAAACTTGCCTGGTCATGCTGGCTCAAGAGCTCTTCCTTGACGTTATAAGAAGGTACGCAGCTTTGGTTTAGCGATCTTGCATGATCCACGGGAAACACGGGAAGAGCGAACGCGTGATCATGCCTTGCGAGAGGAAGGAACTGGTGCTCCAGGCTCAAGGCTGCTGCTGGAAATGGTGGCGGCGAAGCTGCGGGAGTTGATGAGCGAGGCGATCCAAGCCGTGATTGGCAGTCTTGGAAGCTGTAGATTGCGCTGGCATGATCGGCGCCGATAGCTAGAGATGATTGCCGGTGAGCGAGAAGATCACGCAGAGCATTTTGCTGCTGCTGCTGCTGCTGCTGATGGTGGCTCTTCTTCCTGGCGCTCAGGTCTTCTCCGCTCGAAGTCTCGCTTTGATCGTGCTGCCTGCTATTCAACGAAGACGAAGAAGGGCTCGTCTCCAAGGGCTTCGCGGAGGAAGTCTCCTTCGCTCTCTTCATCATCTCGCTACACCCCTAACAGAGCAAAGAACTAGTGTAAGTTGATGATCATAGTTCTCTTGGACAAAACTATAAGAACTTTTTCAAGGGGAAAGTATGGAGAGCTTCTTACTTTCTTGTAGATGGTGCCATCTTCCTCGACGTGCCAGCCCGCCTCGTCGCACAGCGCCTTGAGAACCTCGTTGTGATCGGCGTGCTTGGGGAGAGCGTAGCCACCGTGCGCTCGCAGCCCGGCAAAGATCTTGGCCGCCACCGCGCGGCGCCGTCTCTCCCTCTTCTTGTTGTTCTCGCGCTCCCGCTCCGTGGGATTCCTCCATACCACGCCGCCTTTCCCAGCCGGCCTCTTGACCTTCCATGGCCCGGAGGTGGGCTTGATGCAACCACGCACCGTGCATTTCCTTCCCGGCCTGGACGACGCCGACTCCTCCATTGCCACTTGATCGATGCTCGCGACGTGATCCAAGCGAGAAAGAAGACTGTTCTAGAGAACGCTTGGCGACGATCCTATCTCTCTCCAGCAGCGCTCATATCTCGACTAGAGTCTATAAGATACACAGCGTGTGGGAGAAGCCAGCTCGAGGAAAGAGAAAAAAATCCTCTCTCTCTCTCTCTCTCGCGGTGGCTTGCACTTCACGAAAAGATAACGATCGAGAATTGGGATGGAGCAGCGACGATCTTAGAGCTGGAAGCTGAGAATTGGGAATGAGGAAGAAAAAAATCGTGACTGTCTGACCGACCAAATTCTCCCAGCAGCGAGAGCGAGAGAAGAAAAAAAAAGAGAAGAAATAGATTTGGATAGAGCAAACTTTCGCTTACAACTTTTTTTTGTTCTTCCGACTCGCTCTCACTGTGGTTAATCCTTTTTTCTCCAAGTTGCGCTGGGGACTATCATTTAGATTTGTCGCCAGTGGCAGCGGTCAGGAAAAACGAAACGAAACGCTATCAAATCTCACCGGGTGTCAGTGTTCTTCACTGCCGGTAAGTTTTCGCTAACATTTTTATCTCGTCTTAAACAAAGTTGGTAAGAGAAAAGAAAACATTCTCAAACGAAGCACAGGGTAATTATTTCCAATTACCAGTGCCAAAGTTTTTGGTATTTTGCGATCACATTCACCTGCGCTCAAAAAATCTTGCCACATTTTCTTTTTTTTCTCTCGGTCCAATCAAAGGCGAGTGTTGGCTTTCCGTTGCGTTGCCTAAAACTACGATGCCGCCAAAACGCCACTATTGCGCAGCGTGTCAGCCATTTCCATGGGCTCCATGTCCTGGGATATTCCCAGACGTGGCGAGGCATATACCCCTCCCGCTGTGGATTATCCCGCGGATATGCTGCCAGGAAGTCTCACGCCAGACAATCATGGTTGATCATAATCTTAAGTAACAACTAGATTCCAGCGAGCGGCAGCAGAGCCTTTTGGTTTTTTTTCTCATTGGTTCTCTTTTGGAGGAACTCTGTTCTCCGTCGTCGAGAGAGAATGGATTGCGAGAACAAATCGAGGAGCAAATCTTCCCTGCGAGCGAGAATTTCTTCTGTAACGGCTTCCAACCTCCAACACTGATCTTTAATATTCCTTCGCAAAATCTACGTCTGGAGCAGCACAAAAACAAAACAAGACAAGAAGGAAATCCAAAAAAAATGGGAGGAGCTTACCAACGTCGTCTCTACTGCTCCGGACCAGTGCCTGCGATTTGCGACCTCCGGATCCCCCAAAAGCCTTTCGGATTCATGCCGCTCTTTGCAGCCGTGAATCTCCATCCCATATGTGCGTCGCACACGCAGTTCGCGATCGTCCAGGCATAGCTACGATAGAAAACAACTCAAGTGAGAGAGAAGAGGAAGAGAATACTGTAATCTTACCCGGGAAACCAGCTGTGCTGTGTCTCCGGACGACCACGTAAGTTGAGCCCTTGTGCTTTGCGAAGAGTAAGCGTCTCATGCACGTAGCCGTGCTCGTTCACGAAAGCGTTCATAGGACCGTCAGCAGACATGACAAGCATGTCACTCCGCCTAGCAATTGTTGCCTGAAAAAAACATTTACAGATCACATGTAAAGAAAAACAAAAGACAGAGAGGCCTACTTTGCAACTCTTGCAGCGAATGAGATCCATGCTCTCGAGAAGCTGGACTTCCCTTCGCAGCCTGTAAACGACGTCCAACTCAAGAAGCTCCTGCCTAGTCTCGTCTGGAAGCGGCATCTTGCTAGCAATGAAGAACGACAGTAGTCCAGGATTACCGACGAGTTCATCCATGCTAGGAAGCTCGACCATTTGTCTCCACATATCTGGGATCAAGCAGAGGTAAGACCACCGAGGATAAAGCTCTCAGAATTTGTTTTTCTGTACCTTACCTGCTGCTCTGCGAGATAGATCATACGCGTCATACATCCGGTAGACCCAGTGTGGCCAAGCAGCCCGTTGTCCCCTAGAAATCCACTTGGCCTCGTCTCTAGCCCAAGCTTTGGAAGCACCACCCCACTCTCCATCCGAGCGGGACCATTTACGAGTCATGGCGTTTTCAGAGCTCTCGCCAGCTTGGTTTTGATTAACAGGCTGAGACGATGTTGCTGGTAAGTTTCTTTCCACGGAAGGTGAAGTATCCAGATCCTCTACATTCCGTCTTCTGAGCCATCTGGGAAGTACCATACTACCGTCCTCTTCGTCACTGTCGTCGTGGTGAAACTGTAGTAGCAGATGCGTCAGAGTTCCCTGGCCATTCAGGAACCGTGTCACTTGACTCCTTATATCACCACTAGCTTCAGGGCCCGCGTCCAGAGGTACCTCATCGTCGTCTTCCACGGGATCAGGAGACTCATGAATGGCACGAGGGACTTTTCCACTTTCTCTGCTGGGCACAGCAGCCTTGGCCGAAAAAGCATCTCTTGGGACTTGCAAAGGTCTCGTTTCTTCAAGTATCTTGACTAGACAACATGGCTGAGGAAAGAAAAGAGAAATAACAAAGCATCCGGGAAATGAATATAAAATCTCGTTACCGTATCATTGTCATCACTCCACGCATCTTGAACTCGAAACCTTTGACGGCCCCTTGCAACAACGGTGATGGAACCATCAAGTGAGTGCCTTAGTTGACGAATCTGCTAGTTGCAAGCAAACGTAAATGAGCAAAACCGAAACGATGATGTCATACCTCAGCTGTGGTTCCCACGAGAGCAGGATAAACAGCATTGTCCTTCCGCCCAACGTGAAGCTGGAAAATGAAAACCGGGGAGATTAAAGAACTACTGATTCTTACTGATTAAAGAACCGGTTAATGCTTACGTATCAGGAAATAGTGCTGCACATATCTAAGTTAGAAAGATTTTCTCTCCATCAACACACGTTTCTGTCTGGCAACCATCTAAAGAAAGCATTGTTTTTTGAAGTGCATGGACGGAAATGCAAACCAAGAAGAGTCAGAACAATACCACAGCGAGTGTATACGGTGCATGGTCCTGACTTATAGCCGTCACGACGGCGGCCTTACACCTCCGCCGCACAACTTTGAGAGGAAGCGTGGCTTCTGGAAAAAGAACAATGCCTGCAAAAGCATACTTTAGAAGCGATCACCCCAAAGGCACAAATCTTCACCTTCCAAGTATAAAATAGGAAGCCTCACGACGCTACCTTCTTCCAGGAACGCACGAATGTGTCCCGTGTCGTCCACATCTATCGAGTTGACTCTAAGATCTGGACCGATAGAACAATAAGATCTTACCACCAAGGTACACGTGTCTGCTCGCTAGAGATGTATCAAACGTGAATCCAGGCTGAGGAGGAGCTCTAGCGATGCGTCCATGCCTGCGTAGCAACGTTCTTTTAGTTCTTGCCATAAGAAAAGAACATCTAAATCATGAATCCTCAAGAACTTATTCGCAGCAGAAGAAAACACACAAGAATTCCTTGAAGAAAAGGTCTGTGGTTCATGAACAAAAAATGCAGATCATACCAAAGAATTCCGAGGCAAAGAACACATGAAAAGAAAAGAATAGATCAATCAAACAAGCTAGCAATCCCATAATCAAATGATCGAAAGAGAAAAATGGAGCTACCTGATGTGCGATTCATTGTCTTCCTCCTCCTCCTCCTCCTCGAGCTCTTCCATCTCGAGCGCCTCGATTTGCTCCACCTGATGCCGCTCATTGTCCGTCATCCGGCGACGGCTCTGCTGCTCCACGACGTGATCCAGCGCCGCCTCATCGATCCCTCCGGCGCCTTCCTCGTGTTCTTCGTCGCTCATACCTACCCTAAATAATATTTCATGCCAATCCAGAAAGCTAGGGTTCTTACGTCTCGTCCACAATGGCGCCCACAACAATATTATGGCGCCCACAGGTATGTCTCTTTTCAGCTCGATCGCGCGCTTGGCTCTCAATCGCGATTTCCTACCGCATTCTTTCTAAAGATGCTGGGTATGACACCAAGGGAGCAACGAGCAACAAGCAAGACACAGGTGGTGACAAGAGCATTCCACAGGCTTTAGATCGATTCTCTTGCATTTTACCCCGGATTCTTGCGCTGCAAGAAGGAAGAAAAGAGATAGATAGAATTTCTTAGTACTCCTTAAAGTGGAACGTAGTTTCTGAGAACTCACACAGATCTTAGAGATTTCTAAAATCCTCAAAGAAAGTATAAAAGAGAGCGCCTCAGGAGGGAGAAAACATACTAGCGTACGCAAGCTTTTGCAAAGTGGATGATGGAATCATCCCACCATGCTTTCTTTCTAATCGCAAGTGCCTTCCTTTTTTCTCCTTATTCTTTGCTTTCTCTTTGTTCTCCGTTTGATTTGATTCAAACCGAGCTGACATATTCTTCGTGCTCCTCCTTGTTGTCAGGAATTGCCGGCGGTGCCGCGCTCGATTCAACGTAGCCGCCATACACATACGATACGAATCCCCAGCAGGAGAGGAGCAGAGCCATGACTTTAAGCCCACCAAAAGCGTCATGGAAGAAGATATATGCAAACACTGCTCCCACTGGGATCACCACGGTAAGAATCACTCCAGCCAGCAGCGACGATGAGAGAAAAATAACACCCATTGTTCCCAGGAACGCAGCTTGCCAGGCCAGAGTGGAGCACAACAAAGTCACGAAGTAGGCGAGACTTCCGGCCTTGAACGCCGCGGCCTCGACGTGAATCGCCTCAAAGTCGTTGTTGATGGCCATGCCGACAGTGGAGACGATGGTAGCAACCAGCGCGGTGGAGGTTTGCATTTGCAAGACTAGCAAGGTGGACTTTCGGCCCAGGACTTTGGCAAAGACGAGCTCGGTGAGGGACAGGATGAGGCCGTAGAGTCCAGCAGCAGTGATCGTCATGACATAGCCGTGCCCCGTCTGCTCCCGGCTAACTCCCGGAAGCTCGTCGGAGCTGGAGTGGAGGCCCAAGAGCACGGCACTGGAGCTGACGAGCACGATGGAGTTCCAGACGTATGGGCCGATGCTCTTCCGGAGGAGGAACAAGGCGAAGAGGGAGTTGAAGGCGAGCTGGCTGGATGTCAAGAGTCCTGCAGTGGAGGCCGGGAGATACGACATCCCCCACGAGTAGAGGAAGTTGTCGAGAGCGATGAGGCAGCCGATGGAAGCGAAAGCAGCGACGAGTTTGAAGCTGAAGGGTGCGAGAAGGTGGTGGTGGCCGGGGGAATCGCTGCTGCTGCTGTTGCTGCTGCTGCTGGCTTTGAAGTAGACGATCAGCATTGCGAGAGCACAGACCGGCCAGCCAGCGGTTTGGACCCAGCCGCAGAGCCAGCGCCGGGAGCCACCGTTGGAATAGTAGAAGCGCATGAGCAGCGTGGCGGCGATGAAACCGACGAACATTCCGGTGGAGCTCAGGCACAGCAGCAGCCAGTGCTTGCGGCTCTTGCTCCTCAAGGCCCGCGCCAAGGCCGTGCTCCATTCGCCATCGAAAGCACTCAAGCCTGGAAAACCAAAATACCAACACCGTACGTTTCGGTTCTTTATATGCAAGGTGGATCTCACCTTTGGGCATGGTCTCTTCTGGAGCAACCTTGTCGGCATTGAGCTCCGCCATCGATACTCGGCTATTTGTCGATCTAGCAGCCTAAAATTCTCTCTTTTCCAGGACTGCAAGTGAACAAGCTGCGATACGATTATAAAACTCGAGCTCGCAGCTACTGGCAAACAGCGGGACGTGATATTGGGCGACAATGACAAGCACAGGCGCAGTCATGCACTCTTAAGTTGGATACACTCTTCCAAGCGCTCGCGCGCTCGCATTTCTTTATAGTGAGGACACACCCATTGGGAGGACGGATGCGAAACCATGACATCACAGGCTTTGATGTAAGATCGTCTTTTCCAAATCCATTTCTCACAGGACACCTCAAATTCTTTGGCACAGACATATAATATATGCATCATGCTGGTCAGTGTCTCGGGAGTGTCGTGGTGGATTTCAGCCTCAAACTAAAGTTTTTGATTCTCTCATGGATAAATTCGCTTACTGTTACTTGTATATAATAAAAGGCCATTAAGTCAAAAAGGAAATATTTTGGCATATAACAAGCATCATAGCTCTCCAACTTTGGAGCCTTAAAAACGCTCTGACCGGACAAATATAAGTTTCCGGCCCATTCACGAGATTACAGCTGACGATACTCCTAAGGATTAAGCAAGACCACGCGTTCAAGAAAGAAATCTAGAATATTTTAGACAAGTGTTTTAGAGTACCTTGTGAGCTTCGAACTCTCGCGTGTAACAAGAGCTCCTCCAATTTCCTGATTGAGAAGGTGCGCATATGAAACAGTATAAAGCAAGGAAAGTTTACCAGAGAGAGAGAGACAGATGTTCCAGGACGGCCTGCTGCTGTCTTGCGATATCCCCGAGCATGATTTCCAAGCGATTCGCAGCAGCAACTGCTCGGGGGAAATGGAAGAGTTTTTGACGCTCTTTAGAGAATCGTCCGAAGGGCTCACGCGTGGCAAATACTTTGGAAGCAGGAGGAGTATCTGTCTGCAATCAAGAGTGAAAATCAAAATCTTACAAAGATTGCCTTTTCCCTGGAAAGCGAACCTGGAGATTTGAGTGCGGAGTGTGCGGAGTGCGGAGTGTCCAGCACAGGGACCGTTGAAACTGCGCCCCTCAAAACGGCTTCCCTAGTTGCTGGACACAAAGCTCGCTCCGATGATGGATGGAATCACACCGTTAGCTCAATCATTTTAAGACGAGCTTACCTGGGAATATAATCGATTTCATTCGCTCAATCGCGCTCCTCACAGCCTGAGTAAAGGGGCAAGAGAAAAGAGAACAATACAGGGCACCACAGACCTTCTGATGTAACCTTTCCAGCAGAGCTGTAAGATTTTAAGAAATCGCACGAACCATATCTCAGTGGAGCATCTCTGCACATGCATCGTAATTTTATAGTCCGCGGAGCCTCCTTTCTACGTAAGCGAACAGTTGTCCCCTCTTACTAATCTTCTTCCGGGTCCTCCATTAATGTCGTGTCATCCAAATAGTGCTGGCCACCGTCAACGTTGTTGGAAAGCATGCTAGCATCGATATGTTTCCATTCGCTTTGGAGTTCATCCAGAGCTTTCGAGGCAGCACGAGAGACCTCGAGATTTTCGTCTTCAGCTAATCTCTGGCCAGGGTCATAGGACGCGTGGTAAATGCCGCTGTAAAAAAAAAGAGCTAACCTGTAATGCGCTGATTCCAGCATTTCCAAGGGCCAAAAGAGACGGTGCATTTGCAAGGGCATCAACTAAAGCACGCCTGCGTGACAAAAAGGAATTAACGACCTCGAACCACAATTCGCAAGATATAGAACATAAAAGGCCTTGCCTGGTTGCAATATCTGGAGAGCTCGCGGTCTGCGTGACAAGAGTTGCACCACTTGCACCATGAACTTCATCCATATCGAGAAGTGTTGCTATTATATATTCGAGCTAGACAGATGCAAACATCAGCAGGAATTGAAGCAGGATATTCATATACCTCATCCGGATCACTATCGTCCAAAACATTGACCTCCGCCAACAGTGACGCCATTTTCACGTAGGCTTCCTGTTGACTAGACGTGTTGTGTACGGCTTAGAAATTGTTACAACAAGTGAAAGAAAGAGACCTCAAATTCGGCAACTCGGTCCAAGGTTGTTTTCTTTACAGGACGTGAAGTTTCGTCAGTGCCAGGATTCAGCGTTGTAGTTTCAGCATTTTCTCTGCAACCAAATAATAAAATGCTCACTACCGCAAAGAAAAAGCACAAAATCTCTTACTTCATCAGCAACACCTTGACGGCAGCATCATGAATGCTCTTCACTGCCTGCATGCGGAAGGAGAGTCTTACACATTCATATTTATATGCAAGCCACCTGAACAGTTGCAAAAGAATCTTCCATAGCTCGTCTACGAGCCCGTAAATCGGCCAAGCGGAGATCGGCCTGTAAGAGGAATACATTACGATCGAAAGAACAGGACTTAGGAGCTTACATCCAGAGCTCCGTCATTCCAATGCTCAGTTGCTGCTACTTTCAATTCGCTGCCTGCAATCTCCTTCAACTTCTGAAAATGGGAGAATCACAAGAGAAAATAAAACGGAAAAAACTTTAGCTTGGGTGGAAATCATCCTCTAAACTAAATACTGTGGCTATACGATTGACGCGGTCAGCCTTTCTGTGCGCCCTCTCCCTGGCACGAGCTTTGGAAAAAGAATTATATAAACGTCAAAGCAAAATGATAGAAGTTCCAGAAGGATGTTCTTACCATCTAGTTTTGTCACTGTCGATCCTATCAACGCCATGTCTTGGCGAGCACGCATGTCCAATCTCGAAAACTCCCTGCCATCAATACAAGGTAGAAATAAGAAACAAGGCTACAAGGCTCTTACTCACCGAGCTAAAAGAAGAAGATTACTTCGAGCTTTCTCGTCCATATTCTGCGCTGCGGCCGTCACAAGCATCGCATCCTGCCGGGCATATTTCGCCGCCTCGGCTAAGCGGCACTGGTGCCCAGACTTGTCTTGCTCTTCCAAGCCAGACGAGCCATTCGGCTTTGCAGCCCGGCAGCAGCACGGCTTCGCGGCGGCGGGGCTGCCGCAATCCCACGCGCGAAATCTCGATATTGTCCCATTCTCGCGCGCTCCCGCCTGGATTCTCATGACTTACAGCGGCGGTGCTCACGGCGCTAGGTTCTTGCTCGCTTTGCCATGCCGCGGCCCCCGACCTAGACAGCGCTCAGTAGTGGCCACGAGAGAGCCACAAATCAAAGACAAAAAAGAAAATGATTCCAAAGCTGAATATCCCGCCCCTAACAGAATATACAGAATATCCTCTGACTGAATATACAAAGCAAACAGAATATGCTTGCACGTTGTGACACGTGGCTGTCGGGTGGCAATGTGCATATACGCCACTTGGCAAGAGGGTTTTAGCTCGTCGATTGATCGAGAGGAAGAAGAGAATGGCTGCTGTTGGGCCTGGGCCGGTGGCGACGAGGGAGTATGTTCCTGGCGATGCCAAGGAGACCAAGACCAAGGTCTTGGAGTCCGGCGCTTCAATCCTCCAAAGCTTCGCTCCAGTGAACAAGATCCATCAACATCTTTGCGCGTAAGATCGCAAGCTCCTTCTAGATCTCTCTCGTCTTTGTTGTTGTTGTGGCTCGCGATTTTCTCTTCTCTGTTTTGGAAGAAGCTTTTCTCCATAGAGTTTTTGGTGTTCCAGCTTCCCTCTTGTGCGTTTTCCTGCCAGGAGAAAACATCAACTTAGAGCAAAGAAGTTTCTCTTTTTGCTTGCCTTTGGCTGACGCCTTATCTTGGTTTCTTCTCAGCTTCCA